TTAACATCCAGCTTTCCACAGGAGAGGCTGGTTGGAGCCCCAGCTGCTCTGCATCCAAGGGCGTGTTTTGCTAATGCACCTGAGGAAGCAGCATAGGCTGGTGCAAGTGCTTGGTTTCCTGCCGCTCAAGTGGGCGACCTGGATGGAATTCCAAGGTCCTGACTTTGGCCTGAACTCTCCCAGCCGTTCTGGCAATTTGGGGAATCAACTGATGGATGAAAGATCTTCCCAATCTCTCTTATACCCGAATTACTAAATAAATGAATTTAAAAAAAATAGCAAGCAAATATTTTAGCAATTCTAGTAAAGCAATTCCAAAAATTAGATTGAGATGACGGAATGAGGTTAAAGCAGAAAGTCATAAAAATGACCATAAAATGGAAAACAATAAAGTCAAACCACAGCTCCTGAATAAGAAAAAGAAGAAATCTCCAGCGGGGCCATGACTCCCGTCAGCTGCATGTGAACTAACTTCTGATGGTTTTGTCATCCTCAAGTTTACTTTCTGATGACGTTCTGCTTGGGAAAACTCATGTCCCAAGTTGACACTGCTCACGACTCAACCCATGGTCCATCAGGAGATTGCCTGTGGGAAGGTGATTTGTGACTCCCTGTTGTGTCTGAAGGACACAATAAACAGTGTCATGTAGGAGGTGACAGGTGACCTGTGTGCACTGGGAGGTGGCGTGCTGTCTCCCTGTCCCTGATACACAGTCAGTGCTCGGCAGACCCATGATCTGAAAGACGCCTCCCCGTGGGGGGAAGCCCACTGCCTCTGGTAAGGATCTACAGCCCCAGCCTGGAGGAGAGGGAGGCAGGGTTCGTTGCCTCTCCCGCCTGCCCTGCTGCTCTCTGCCTGCTCAGACAGGACCGCTCTGCAGTTGTTGACTGGACCTTCCCATCTGTCACTGACACTGTTTCTTTCCATCCTTTTGAGTTCACAGATCTCTCCAGGTCTTCAGTCGGTGAGCGTTTTTCACTTTGGCCCCGTGTCTTGCTGTTTTCTTTCAAACTAAAATGAATATTTATGTGGCTGGAATTAGTGTGCATCTAGTTTTATTTTATGAATCTGTATTTTATTGTAATTTTCATTTGCCTCCATTTTGGTTATTTTTATTTCAAATGAGTGGATACTTTGTTCTTCATCAAGAGGCTTCAGTCACATTCAGATCAGCTAGATTAATTACTAATTAGAGATGTTACTTATTTAATCGCATATAAACTGTTTTCCATTATTATGTAGAAGTGTAAGTATTTTATTTTTTGAAATCCCTCTTTTTTATGCTTAGCTCTCAGAAAATCCCTCACAGCATTTAACGATTTTAATCAGTGACTTTGAGTATCTTTCTTAATACATAATCACTTCATGATAAATGAGTCAATTTCTTTATAACGACATTAATATTATAGTAGTTTTTAAATGGACCCAAGCAAATGCATGATGAGTAGAAGCAGCAGGTATTTTTATTTGTACTCAATCGCAATGCAAAAGCTGCAGTGTGTTGCCGTTATAGCACAGAGTTGATATTATGCTTTATCATTTAAATGCTAAGATATATATATGTGTATAATGATCACTGTATTTGGTGTATCAGTTGCGGTGCTGAGCTGTTTTCTCCTTTGATTTAAAACTGTGGTGAATCTTACACATCAGCTTCCTAATATTACCCTTTCCCTTCCTCTGCGGCTAACTGTCTTGGTCAGGTGCTGCACTCACATTGGAAATCACTGAGTTCCCGTAAAACTAACCTGTGCAGCTGGTTTTCCAGGTGAGGCCGGAAGTAAGTAGCACCATTATACTTTTCACACCTGCCTTCTGTGCTGGGTGTGAAGTGTTGCCTCGTCCGCAGTGGAGTTACTGGATGCTCTTCTCTATCCACGGGCAATGTTTGCAGGTATTTTCTGCACTTTTCCATTGAGGCATTCTGTGGGATTCCTCGTGGAATGACTTTACCTGCTACTCGATTTCACCATGGTGATCTTCGTACATCTGTGACTTTCCACAGTCCTCATGTTTTATGGTAAGTTAAGTCATGATACATTTAAAAAAATACATAACTTTGTAGTGTTGGTGACTCGTGAAGTGTGACGCTCTCGGTGTCTTCTCCCGAGGAAGCGGGCCTGTCTCTTTAGAGGGGTCTTCACGTTGTCATTCCTTGGAAAGAACTGCATTTTGACTTCATTTTAGCACACTGCATTTCGCAATAATCATAGGCCATTTTCACTCTGCTCTTAGATGAAATATTTCTCAACATATTGAGAAATCGGTGTTTAAAAAAATATCTTCTCTTTTTGCAATCCATCATCATTGTGTTAAGATAAGATGTTCTGTGACGTGAGCCTCTGCCACTTTGTCTCCTCATTTCCTTCCGTGTTTGGTATTTAACTGCATTTATAGAGGGAGCATGCTGCAGGGGAGCAGGGGAGCCGGGCACTTGAAGGTGACGTGTGCGCCGGTCAGAGCAGTTGGACCAAGTGAGATGAGTGGCTCACCTTGTTTATAGTCTGCCTTACCTTTTGTCTCTGGGTTCTACAGTTAATCAAGGAGGTTAGATCGGATACTACAGGGATGGGCACGAGCTGTTTACACTAAGCATTGATCCTGCAGCTTTGTATTTACAAATATTTTCATGTGCCTCAAACTGGCCTTATTGATTGTGTCCAGTTATTCTGCTGCCTAAATGTTCATTTTGTCCGATATTAAATTTAAAACCGGAGATGTTATGATTATTTATGGTGAGTGATGCTTTGATTGTGCAGTTAACTACATTCTCCCCAAATTTTGTGGAGAGCTTTCAGCAGTGTTCGTCGGGGACACTGGCCTGCAATTTCTTTATATCACTGTGTCCTTCTGGGTTTCCTGAAAGCTTCAGGTAACACAGGCCTTCTAAAATGATTTTGGAAGAATGTCCTGCCTTCTTTTGGAGTTGTTTTGGACATTTTCAGTTCTCTGAGGCACGGTGTATGCACTATTTGTGCACATATTATTTGCATAATTTTGCTTGTTCTTGTAATTCAAATGTTAAGGGGAATTGCAAGTGTGTCAACTGAAGTATGAAGAGGCTGAGCTTGATTTATTTTCTTTCACCTGATAGGGTCACAGTGAAGGCCTGCTGGCACCCACACTGCCCAACATACGCTGTGCTTTTGAAATAGGGTGTGTTCGAGTGAGAGTTGTAAATTCAATGGTGTGTTGCTCTTGGCAGAAACAGATCTGAAAATATATAAAAATGGAAGCAACTGGGGAATTCAGCTCATTGATACAATAAGAAGAGACTCTAAACTTCTAAGAGCAGGTATGTGGAGTGAGCAGGCAATTCTGTTGAGGAGAACTTGTGCAATTGGCCATCCTCCATGATACTGGATAGGGAGTGAATGGTCATAAGTTCTGAGGGTGAACCAGAAACTGTTGTACCGTTTGTTGAAGATAGGTTGCATTTTAAAGCTTCATTCATTGTTCATTATATGAAAGACAGAAAGAGACAAAAAGAGAGTAAGAGGGAGAGGAGGCGAGTGTCAGAGAGAATATGAGACTCATCTACCAGTTACACCCAAAGAACTTGAAAGTGGAATTGGGATCCATGTGAGTTTCAGGGTCCCGGGATGTGCGGGAGCAGAAGCAGAGTCATGATTCTAACCCAGATGCTCTGTGGGCGTCGTGGGCATCTGAGAGTGCTTACCGCCCTCCTCCCGCACACCGGTGGATGCACTTTGTAAAAGAGCAGATTACATTGTGGACTATTCGAGTAACACAAGTCAAATAATTCCAACTCTTATGATCCTAAGCTACAATAATGGGAAGGAATGAGTGGTATCGTGGAAGTAGGACAGCCCTGTATTGATGGTGTCCTTAAGCATCGGATATTCTTTCCTCTGCCTTTGGTGTAGTAGAGGTGATGCCAGAATGTGAGTTATGGCAAAGCTGGGAGTGCAACATGGAAAGCTCAGGGACTCTACGGGTGAGGTCATTATGGAGGAGTCATATATGTGTGGAAATCTATGGAGAGAGGAAGGTGACAGGTTACATGACAGAGACTATGAGAGAATGACAGTAGCACAAATAGAGATGAAGCATTATTTTTATTCATTTGTGTGTCAGCCTCCACGACTGTCATATCACTCCTGTACACAATATGTTTGTGATCTGACTAGGTCTGATGCTGTATCAAATGTACATATAGAAGCAGGTTTTGGGCAACGTTTTAGATACGGCATATGCAGCAAGCCACAGGGATGTGCAGTTGGACTGAGTTCATCTGTGATGGCGCCAGAAAGATTGAGTTCTGTCCCAAACGTTGCGGTAGCCCAGCCACATTGTCAGCCTCACTGCACTGCATGACAGAGGCTCTACAGCAAGAACGAGAACAAAAATGCTTCCAGCACCTCTGGCTAGGTGACAGGAGGCAGAATTCCTTTCTTGGAAAACCTGCTCTTTCTTTTTGTATTATAAAAATTAATTTAATTACAGTTTTGTTTGGCGAATACATGAGTGGGTAAACTACTCTGAAGTTATGACTTAAAGAGGTTTCTTGACGGTAACAATTACGTTTGTGGTCGAAATTCTAAAAATGCAGTCCAAAATCAAACCCCGGCCTTCATGCATGCAAGCCATAATGTTCATCAGTTTAAGCACAACATACAGGATTAGAGCCCAGCAGTCTAAGAATCTGAGTATCAACAGCAAACTGTGACTCACAGAGGCCATCACGGCCTCATGTCCTCACACCAGAAGGTAGCACGTTGGATCCGAAGTCTACCTCATTCATGTAAGAGAACCATACATCCTGACACTCAAAGGACAGCTGACATTGAGTTCCTGAAAGTAGCACAGTTGGGTCTGAAATATAGAAGATTAGACAGTTTCATTGCACCTCCCTGGAACAGAGCTACAATCGTAACCTTCACTGGGCTGTGTTTTTGTGATTTCAGATTGCAACCTATTTTCCCGAGGATGCCAAAGTTAACAACGTAAGAAAAGCGTATGAAACACCATTGTCACAATGTCAGCCAGCGACACGATTTATAGTTTCTTTTTCCTAAGTCAGATCTTTATTGGTGTGGTGGCAAACTCACTGGTCTTCCTGATATATGCGTACATCTTCCTGATCGAGCCACACCTGAAGAAGCCCATGGATGTGATGTGCATGCACCTGACAGTTGTCAATACCGTAACTATTGTGTTCCAGTCAACACCACATCTTGCGTCCTTCTTTGGAGTCAAAGATTTCTTGGATGATATTGGTTGTCAGACGTTTTTGTACATATCCAGAGTGACTCGAGGCCTTTCCATCTGCACTACGTCTCTGCTGAGTGTGTTTCAGGCCATCACTGTCAGTCCCAGCCATTCTAAGTGGGCGTGGCTGAAGTCTCAGCTGTCTCAGTGGATTTTGCCCTCTTTGCTTTCCTTCTGGGTCATCAACATGCTGATTTACAGTCACATCATTGAAAGCATGAGAGCAAAATCAAACTCCACTCTTGGCAGAGGACCTTATGTTCAAACATACTGTCAGAACATTAAGGTTGAAGAATACAAATCAAAATTATTTTTAAGTGCCATGATGATGCATGACCTTGTGTGTATGGTGCCCATGGTCGGGAGCAGCCTCTACATGGTGCTCATCCTCTACAGACACCGCAGGAGAGCCCGGCACATCCACAGCCTCACTCACTCTTCTCAGTCATCTGCAGAAAACAAAGCCACCCGCACTATCCTCCTGCTGGTGCTGTGCTTCGTGGTATTTTATGTTGCCAACAACTCTTTGATGTTTTATGGGTTACACAACTCTGGGAAAAACATAAGATTGGAGGGTATTAATGGAATTTTATCATCATGTTACCGCACATTCTGCCCCTTTTTGTTGATAAAGCACAATAAGATCTTTGTCAGACTGATTTCCTCCATTTCAAAGATAAGAATGAAATTTTCCTAAAGAACTTTTATTGGCTAACTTGCCATCACCTTCCTCAGAGGATTTGTCATTGAAATTCATATATGGAAAAGTAGTATGTTTGTGTGGAGCTCTGGGAATGGGACTAATTTGAGTTCAACTCTGTAGTTCATCTAAAGAGATTCACATTTTTAAAATAGAAATATGAAAGGAGTTTACTAATTTTCACATCAATTACATTCCTTAGTTATATATTTGCTTTAATAAATAAATTGTATGACATTAAGCTACCTTTATCTGTTTGCTTTCTGTTCTTATTTTTCCATTTTTACTAGACCTCTTAGAACAAATACATACTTAGCTTGTAACTTTGTGAATCTGTGCTGTTCATTAGGACTTCACCTAGCCATTCTGTAGATAACACCCACTTCACTAATTTTGGGGATGTCTCTAGAGGCTGACTGTGCATCAAAAACCTAAAAAAAAGATGCCAAATCGAAAGAAACTTAAATAATGTCTTTCAGCAGCGAAAATAGTTGTATCTTGAGAAGCTAATGAAGCTGATCAGCTCCCCTTCTTCTTGGGAACACGTGTGCAGTGCCTGCCCACAGCAGTCTGCTTGGAAGTGTGTACAACCTGTCATCCTATAGGCTGCCCTTTAGGACCTTTGAAACAGCCCTTTTCAGCAGACATTCACGCCTCCGACCACATACTGTTCCTAACGTAGGCCCCATACAGGTTTGAGGGGGGCATGGTTGCCAAGGCTCAGTAGCCAAGGTTCATATTGGCCTCGCTGTCATGTCTCTCTGCACAAAGCTGTAGAACAAGGAACACTTGGTTGAGGCCCTACACAGGCTCAAGTTCCAGTTCCGAGTTACAGTCCCTGGTCACCAGAAGCACATGTCAAAGAAGTAAGACTTACCTAGTTTAGTGTGAACCAAATTGAAGACGTGGTGGAAGAGAAGCAGCTCATCCCTGATGACTACGGGATCAAGCAGATTCCCTACATTAACCCTGGACAAGTGGTGAGCCCTCCACTCATGAGGGCGTCTGCTCTTCTCTGTTCCTTATTCGTCATCCATAATAAACCCCGATTGCTATTGCAAAAAGTAGCTATGACTGTTTGAAAAGCCATGAAAGCAGAGCTGATTGGGAGGATGAAGTATTTGGGAGATTCAATCTTTCACATATGGTAAAACACAGAGATTTCTCAGAGCATCTGTGTAATTCCAAGATGAGGACCCTGCCGGAACGAGGAACAGGGGGGTCATTTCAACGTACACAGGATGCTCCTTTGTGCCTTGAAGGTGCATTTAGCAGGACGCAAGTGGATCCTACCCTCCAAAGTTTCTAGAAACTACCATGAGAATAGAAGTTATCAGTCACACATTTCCAATGGCTAAAACCCTGAACTAACTCTGCTCTCCTTAGGATCTTCATTAGTAGGAACCTTAATCAGAAATAGGGTCATGATTCTAACCCAGGCACTCTGATAAGCATTTGGAATATCCAAGGCTCTCCTAACTCACACAGCTGGAGGCAGTTTTTAAACATTTGAATAGTAGAACTGTTGATAAATTGATAAAATTTCCAATAATCCCAACTGTTATGGAAGGAACAAGTTGGGCCATGGAGAATGAATGCTCTTGTATTGATGGTGTCCTTAAACTTTACATGTTCTTCCCTCCGCCTTTGCTGCATAGAGATGATGCTAGAATGTCCGTTTTTAAAATACTGGGAGTAAAACGAGGAAGTGCAGGCACTCTATGAATGTAGCCAGGACAGAGCAGACAAATATGAAATTCAGTAGAGATCACACATTTCCAATGGCTTTTTTGTTTACTCATGAGCGGGCTAGACAGGATTACAATTCCAGCTTCTGGTTGGTTATGTCACTATGCTCTGATTGGTCCTTGAATTGTGCTTGAAAGATTCCCCTTTGGATCAGATTCTCCTCTTCCTCTCTGTACTGCCTGTCTTAAGTGCTGTGTCAGGAGTCTTCTCTTTTCAGTAAATCTTACTTTGCTCATTACTTTGCTCTGAAATTCTTGTATGTGAGACAAGGTCACCTTCGTTCATGGCTGTTTATCTGGTAATATCTCCCCATGGAGTCACACTGGGCATTAGGGCATCAACCGTTGCATTTCAGAGGTTACTCGTAGTATGTTACACACGAATACACACATAAAGATCTTAGTTCTCTCTGAAGACATATATGCAAGTGTATATACAGCCTATGTTGATGTGCAAATACCAAAGATATGCAACTTTTATGTCATAGCTTAGGGAAGTTTATAGGGAGGAATGGGTGTTTGCTTCATAAAGGGTTTCTTCCTCGGCTTCCCTGGTCAACAGATGTTTAGTGAGCAGGACTCACAGATGGTGTGTGCACACTTGTTCCCCTGTATTCATGAACCCCCGACAATCATTTCCCATTTGATTGTGGCTAATGTTGCTCATCTCCGGGGTTGGCAGAATCTGAATTTAGCTCAGGCTGTTCAGGATACAATGTGCTTCTAAAATAAACAGTAAAACCCACAGCAAAATGGAAGGTTAAATATTTGTTCTTTCATAACCTTGTTTTGATTTTTGCACTAGGATCTTGAGTAGTTAGTGAACTCTTATATGTGTCTCATTCTACTGATGTCATTGTTGGGCCTGCTGAGGTTTTTTTTGTAGTCCATGATGGTTTGAATATTTCTTGTGTGTCTGTTTTTTGGATGAGGTTTTCAAATATTGAGAGGATTGTGTCTCTAAGTCATTTGGAACTTACAAAAGAGAATTTGTTATTGTTTGGAGAGGTCTGTATCCAGTGATATCTGTAGGCCAAACACCCTTGTCAGGCTTTCCTTAAAAATACCTGATTCTTTAAGTGGAAGTTTTGTCCCACCTCTTCCATGAGAACTGGCAGTCACACACCTTGCACGTGGAATCACTAAAAAAAATCTGATAAAGCTATGAATGTCAGACAAAGTAAACTTGAAGATCATTGGATGTGTTTCACCAAAGATACTTCCAAGGAGTTTCAGTTGGTTTCCAAGTAGAACAGTGGAAGAATGCAATCTAGCCAAACAATAGGACAAACACAACTATTACACTTGATCTTAGCCAAAAGGCCAATTGATTCTTCAGTGTCACCACACAAAATGCACTGTGTTGCAACAGCACTACTACATAAAACTTATCTTAATGAGAACACGAATATTATCAAATATTATGCAAATGAAGAAAACTACAATGCATACTGTATGCTTTATTTTTGTTATTATTATTATTATTTTGTGATAAAATTCCATAGGCTCCTGGCATTTCCCTTATCCCTTCCCCAATTCTCTCCCACACCACCTAGTTCCTCTATATCATTACTAAAATATAGTTCTTCATATACAGTCATATGTCTATCATTGTGGGCATGGACAATGGCAGAGAGTCCAGCATCCTATTGTCAAGAAATAGTGAATGGTTTCATTCTAAGTCCTATCTTTGTGTGAAAGTAGAAATGCATTCTACATTGTGTCCTCAGATCTGGATATGTTAGTCTCCATTTCATAGCTACCGCACATCCCCTTAAATGAAAAGTCATGATACAAAATCAACAACAAGGAAGAAAAAAAAACAAATTTACAATGCCATGAAGTTAAATAACACAATACTAGATATGACAGTCTCCATTACACAGCTACTATAAATTCCCCTAAATGAAGAGCCACAAAACAAAATTAACATCAGGGAGAAAAAAGAAATTAACAACACATGTAGCTGAAGAAATGAAGATCAAGAACCTTCTTGAAGAAAACGATGCTGCTATATGATCTATGAGTCATTGCATGATTTAATCAGAAGAAAGTGTTTTGAACAGATGAACCTAACAGAAAACAACAAAATCCATGTTATTTAGTTTCTGCTGATTTTTGTTGGTGAAGTGTGTCTCCTCCAGACAATAAACAGATGGGTTTTGTTTTTTGATCCAGCCTACTAATCTATGATGTTTGAGCTTAAGCCATTTACATTCAAAGTTTAATATGTATGGGTGGTACTTTGGTCCTGTCATTTTAGGAATGGGTTGTTCATTGGTTTAGTCTTCTGTTGTCATTTTACTGGGATGTTTTTCCCATTTGCCTTTGGTTTTGGTAGGTGCTATTCCTCTTCTCTATCAAGAGAACATCTTGAAGTATCATTTATAGGGCAGGTTTGGAAGAGGCGAATTCTTTTAATTTAACTGTGGAAGAATTTTATTCCATTTTCAAAGACAAAAGAAAGCTTTGCGGGGTATGTTATCCTAGGCCGACAATTTTTTTCTTTTAGAATCTGGAATATGTCACTCCATTCTCTTCTTGCTGTAGAGTTTTCTGTGAGAGATCTCCTGTGAATTTAATTGGCATTTCTTTATATGTCAATTGATTTTTTTTCACGTGCACATTTAAGGATCTTTTCCTTATGTTCAGCTGAAGAGAGCTTGATGATCATGTGTCTTGGTGAAGATCGCTTTTGATCAAGCCTGTTGGGAGTTCTGTGCCCCTCCTGGATGTTGTTTCCCAATTCTTTCTCTAGATTAGGGAAAATTTCCTTGATTATTTCATTAAATACATTTGCAAACTCAACTTCTCTTTCTGCACCTTCTGGGACTCCCATAACTCTTATATTTGGCCTCTTAATAGTGTCTTTCAATTCTTGAATACTTTTTTTGGCCTGATCCAGTTCTGCTCTTCCAGCTTTTTGTTTGCTTTCTCCTGATGACAGGAAATACCTTCCAATTCTGAGATTCTTTCTCCTGCTTGCTTAATTCTATTTTGAAGACTCTCCATTGTTCTTTTAATTTGCTCTACTGTGTTCTTAATTTCTGATATATCAGCCTTCATTTGCTTTATTGCTTCCTTAAATTCTTTGAACTCTTGTATGTGTTTCTCATTTTTGATCAGAAGCTTTAAAATGAGTTTTATGAATTCTGTATGCCCCATTTTCCCGATGTCTTCCTCAGTTAACTCTGAGATTGGCACAGGGTTTTGCTCCTTTGCAGGGGAGTTTTTGCTAATATTCATTGG